TTCCATTTGGTATATTTTTGTTTTCTGTTTTTTTGGTTCTTCTGGTCTTTGATGGTTTAGCTTTTAATGGTTTCTGATTCTTTTCTTGGAATTGAACTACACTAATTATATGTTGTTGCCTACAGGAGCCACTGCCTGTGTTGAACTGAAGAGATTTAAAGAAGGAATCACTTGGTGTGATAAGGGATTAGCTGTATCCTTTGAAGGAATCTTTAATTTTTAACAGTGGGTATAGTGGAAATATCCCATAATTTGACGTTTTAAGGGAGAAAATGCAACGAAGGGTATTAATTACAATGGGAACTAATGTCATCTCATCCTTAAAGAGTGTGTGATTAAACTTTGGGAAGAGTTAATACCTCATGACTTATTAGTGATATACTCCTCTAAACCATTACTCAAGAACAAGTCTCTGTAAGAATCAAACATCTTGGGAAATGAAAATTTTCAACCCCCCGTCAAATTTTGCATGCAGTTAGGCACTCAGGGGAGATGCACAAAAATGCCCTTTTTAAAGGTTGCAGCACTCTTGTTGCTATGGTAACAACGACTGCTTGTTCGAGGCCAGGGCCTCATTTTCTTACAAAAACGTCGCAAAAAAAGAGTGCACTTCTACCATACATAGTAACATCATTCATCTTCAATTTTCCCTGGGAGTGAATGTGAACACACCAATAGATTATTTATCTCGGTACAGTTTCGGTCATTTTTGTCGTCGGGTAAAACAGGGAAAACGTTTATCTGAATTTCTCCAAAAGTACACCGATTCTGGAACTGAAACTACCCACCTAGCTGGTTATAATATTCTAGTTTTTAAATGTGTAAAAATCTCTGCGGGCCTGCCTCTACTTTTTGTAGGGGCAATTCGTTAACGAAGCTCAAAAATCAGATATTGCATAATTTGGCGATGTTTACATCTAATGCTCTCAACAACAAATGTTTCATACAAATGAAACATGCGAGGCCTTGAAAGAACGTTATCTTATGAGCAATATCCCGAAGAGAAATCTCGCCTCTGGTTATCATATTTTAAAAAAAATTGATCAACCTTCATGGAGGACAACTCGACGTAACTACAAACATATACCTCAAATCGTGTACATATCATCAAGATTCAGAGCGCTGCACCTTCTTTCATGGGAATTTAACCGATCCGAAGTCCTCTGAAGATACACTGTTATACCTGTATGTCATTTGAAACATGTTGAAGTCGGCTGATCTACACGAAACTATCCTCACACCGGTCATTTGTCATAAACATGTACGTTATCACGATGGCGTGACGCTGTATTTCTCCGTGAAGTTTCCATAGGTCGCTCCAAAGAAGACGAGAAATGGATATTTTTTATATATGTCAGCAGTTTTCCACTTTCTGAAGTAAAAAAATCCCAAAAAAAAAAAAGAGAAAAGCGGGGTGAAAATTTTCATTTTCCAAGATGTATGAATCTTACAGAGACTTGTTCTTAATAGTCATACTATGCCACAACTGGTACATGAGTTTAGTTAAAAGACTAATATTCACCCAGTGTATGTATGGTATGTGGATAGATAATTTCTCTAAAACAAGTCAGAAAAAGAAGCTTGGCAATGTCTGTACAATGTATTATGTTGATTTTATTTTATTTTTTCTGCTATTGAGAGACTCAGAAACTTTTGTCGTGTTTTCCTATGGAGAAATACAACTTTGAAAGACACATATCTGTGTTTTAGAGTCATTTCTTCCAGTTGCTGTAAAACTTTATACTCTGAAGTTAAAGATACATAAATTTAAAAATCAAGAAAGTGCTTCCCAGTTTTTTTGAAATAACAGATTATATCTAGATATTTCATGTTACAATTTGAGGTTGTACACAGAAGAAACCTTTTTATGATATGTAGATCGATTGACTGAATGTTGATCAAACAACTACCTTTCATGCAAGCCCTCCTAATGGGCCATTTTACTGTTGTGTACTTAGTTGCCAAGCCTTTGATTTGGAGTGAGTGAGCATAATTACAAAGTAATTCGCATTTGAAAAGCAGCAATGTTGTATCATAACAAGGTCACCCTTAGCCACACTCCTGTTCAAAGGCTTGGGAACCAAGCACATAACTGGTTTTTTCTACATTTTTAAACCTTAACATTGAAAAAAGATTCACAACAGTCATAGGATTTTGATGTCAGACTTCAGTCTGTGGAAGGAGTGGGAGACAAGTCCATGGAGGAAAAAGATGACATTAGTTATGACCATGGTGTTCCAAGTTCAGGTGATGTCCAGAAAGTCATTGACCTCTATAGTTGGGGAGCCAAGCATGGGGAGGGTAACACCTATGGCAATCTTGGCAATGCTTATCACAGTCTGGGTGATTTCAAGAAAGCATTAGAGTACCACAACCTACTTCGTAAAGTAGTCAAAGAAGTAGGAGACAAGCAGGGGGAGGGTTTATCGCAGTCTGGGTGATTTCAAGAAAGCCATAGAGTACCACAACCTACATCTTAAAATAGCTAAAGAAGTAGGAAACAAGCATGAGGAGGGTAACGCTTATCACAATCTTGGCAATGCTAATTACAGACTGGGTGATTTCAAAAAAGCTATAGGGTACCACAACCTACATCTTAAAATAGCTAAAGAAGTAAGAGACAAACGTGAGGAGGGTAAAGCTTATGGCAATCTTGGCAGTGTTTATTGCAGTCTGGGTGATTTCAAAAAAGCCATTGAGTACCACAACCTACATCTAAAAATAGCTAAAGAAGTAGGAGACAAACATGAGAAGGGTAATGCTTATGGCAATCTTGGCATTACTTATCACAGTCTGGGTGATTTCAAAAAAGCCATAGAGTACCACAACCTACATCTTAAAATAGCTAAAGAAGCAAGAGACAAGCATGGGAAGGGTAAAGCTTATGGCAATCTTGGCATTGCTTATGACAGACTAGGTGATTTCAAGAAAGCCATAGAGTACCACAACCTACATCTTCAAATAGCTAAAGAAGTGGGAGACAAGCATGGGGAGGGTAAAGCTTATGGCAATCTTGGCAATGCTAATTACGGACTGGGTGATTTCAAAAAAGCCATAGAGTTCTACAACCTACATCTTGAAATAGCTAAAGAAATAGGAGACAAGCATGGGGAGGGTAAAGCCTATGGAACTCTTGGCAGTGCTTATCACAGTCTGGGTGACTTCAAAAAAGCCATAGAGTACCACACCCTACATCTTAAAATAGCTAAAGAAGTAGGAAACAAGCATGGGGAGAGTAATGCTTATGGCAATCTTGGCATTGCTTATCACAGTCTGGGTGATTTCAAAAAAGCCATAGAATTCTACAACCTACATCTTGAAATAGCTAAAGAAATAGGAGACAAGCATGGGGAGGGTAAAACTTATGGAAATCTTGGCATTGCTTATGACAGACTGTGTGAGTTTAAAATAGCCATAGAGTGCCACAACCTAGATCTTAAAATAGCTATAGAAGTAGGAGACAAGCATCGAGGGGGTAGTGCTTATGGCAATCTTGGCATTGCTTATTACAATCTGGGTGATACCAAAAAAGCCATAGAGTACCACAACCTACATCTTAAAACAGTTAAAGAAGTAGGAAACAAGCATGGGGAGAGTACCGCTTATTGCAATCTAGGCAATGCTAATTACAGACTGGGTGATTTCAAAAAAGCCATAGAATACCACAGCCTACACCTCAAAATGGAAAAAAAAGTAGGAGACAAGCATGGGGAGGGTAAAGCTTATGGCAATCTTGGCAATGTTTATCACAGTCTGGGTGATTTCAAGAAAGCCATAGAGTATTACAACCTACATCTTGAAATAGCTAAAGAAATAGGAAACAAACATGGAGAGGGTAACGCTTCTGGCAATCTCGGCATTGCTTATGACAAACTGGGTGATTTCAAAAAAGCCATAGAGTACCACAACCTACATCTTAAAATAGCTAAAGAAGTAAGAGACAAGCATGGGGAGGGTAAAGCTTTTGGCAATCTTGGCATTGCTTATGACAAACTGGGTGATTTCAAAAAAGCCATAGAGTACCACAACCTACATCTTAAAATAGCTAAAGAAGTAGGAGACAAGCATGGGGAGGGTAAAGCTTATTGCAATCTTGGCATTGCTTATCACAGTCTGGGTGATTTCAAGAAAGCCATAGAGTATTACAACCTAGATCTTAAAATAGCTAAAGAAGTAGGAGACAAGCATGGGGAGGGTAAAACTTATGGAAATCTTGGCATTGCTTATGACAGACTGGGTGAGTTCAAAAAAGCCATAGAGTGCCACAACCTAGATCTTAAAATAGCTATAGAAGTAGGAGACAAGCATGGAGAGGGTGGTGCTTATGGCAATGTTGGCAATGTGTATCGAACTCAGGGAGATTTGATCAAGGCCAACAAGTCATTCAAGCTAATGCTCAAAATTGCCAAAGAGGTCGAAGACAAATCCTTCGAGGCAATGGCCCACTGTTCATTAGGACCCGTTTTTGAGTTGCAGGGTCGACTGCCAAAAGCTGTTGAATCTTACCGAGCTAGCATAACCTTATTTAATTCCTTGAGAATACTTCTAAAATCTAAAGATGAATGGAAAGTTAATTTTCGAAATCAGTATCAAATGGCGTATACGGGTTTGTGGAGAGTTCTCGTAAAACAAGGTAATATAGATGAAGCCTTACTTGCCGCTGATAAAGGACGAGCCCAAGCTCTCACCGACCTTATGGAATCCCGTTTTTGTGGTGGAACAAGTCAGTACAAGGGAAGCGATGAAGATTTAGCAGTTTTAAAAAACGTTCCATCAAACACTGTCTTTCAGGCAATGGACAGAGCTGACGTCAATCTTTGGGTTGTGTCCGAAGGAAAACAAGTTCAGTTAAGACAAAGTAAACTCAATGGTTCTGTTTCAGAGAACAGTAGGGCTAGTCAGTCCTTTGAGTCGTTCATGCTCGGTGTCTATACACAACTTGGTGTTCGTTCTAATGTGAGATGTGAGAACCGATCTTTGGATGCTTTGAGCGAGGACCGTTCAAAAGTGGATCAGGAAACGAAAGAAGACAACCCTCAAGCTTCCATCCAACAAAACAAATGCTTGAGCACTTTGTATAATACCGTTATGAAGCCGGTGGCTGACTTGGTTCAAGGGGATGAGCTACTCATTATTCCCGATGGACCCCTGTGGCTCGCTCCTTATGCTGCACTGAAGGATGGTAATTCTAAATACCTGTGTGAATCGTTCAGAATCCGTCTCGCTCCATCGTTAACTAGTGTTAGACTCATTGCCGATTGCCCAGATGACTATCACAAAAGCAGTGGTGCGTTACTTGTAGGAGATCCGTGGGTAGCCGAGGTT